GAGACGCGGCAATGATTTGTGCTGGCGAAGAGTTTCCCTTAGATGAATCCGTGCTGCTGAGGCGAACAACTCCCACCGTCTGCTGTTGTTGTTGCGATTGTCCACCTTGTCCTTGACTGGATGAATGCGATGGATGCGATGAGGAATGAGGAGTTGATTGTTGTATTAGTACATTTGATTTATCATCTTCTTCACTGAATGCAGGTAGAAGATCTTCTCTTCCATGAAATTTATAACAGTTTATTACAATTTGTCTTAATGCATGTGTCCAAGAAATCTAAAAAGAATATATTAAAATAAAGATTAATAAAAAATTGTTTAAGATATAAAATAAATATTTGAAGATTTTTAAATATATATAAACCTTTTGTTTTTCATCTTCAGATCTTGCATCCATGCGTACATTTGCCCAAGGAAGTTCTTTCGGCCACCATGGAGGTCGTGTACTATCTCTTCCCCAACCGGGTTTACCTCTGCCTGTAGAATACTTTAACATTAATGGGATGAATGCTCTAAGTTGAGCTTGTGTCATTTTTTCCACAGGTGTCGGTATGCCATCTATTATAAGAGGTGGTAATTCATATAAAGATGGATCGTCTTGTACTGGTGGTGGAGCTTGTTGTGCAAGCGCACTTTCAAGTTCTTCCATTATAACATTTCTTAAATTTTTTACTACATCTTCTAACGGTTTTGCTCCAAATACTTTATAACTACTGTTTGGCTTTCCTGGAGTAGCTACTAATACTACTGCTTGTTGTCCAACTCGCGTTGCAAACTCATCTATAGTTTGCTGTAATTATATATATATATATATGTATATATGTAAAATGATATATATATGTATATATAAATGATAAGATTAAATAAAATAAATTTTAATATATATTATAACATACACTTACTCTGAGTTTTCTTAAAAGTCTGTTTTGCTGTCTCTTTCTAATGCTAGGATTTGTTTCAAAACTATGAGGTCGTTTCCTCTTTTTTGCTGAGACAATGGCAGCAGCTGCAGCTACGCCAACAGGGCCTAAATTATTTTTATAAATTATTAACTATACGTTTTCTAATTTTATAATCCCACACCAAATAAAAAATGTCAGTAAAATATTAAAATTTCAATTTCTATAATATATATTTATTTCCAAAATGTATTTATTAATGTTTAAAACTTTCTTATTATATTTATGTACATTTATTTATATTTAAATATGTTACTGACATATTATATAAATATATATCTTTAATTCAAAACATAAAAGATGCAAAAGCAGTAATGATATGAAACGTGCTTGATATTCAAGAATATATTATATATAATAATAATAAATTAAATTTATATATATATAGTTATATATTTATAGTTATATAATTTATAAAATTAAAAATTATATTTTATATATAGAAAACTTGAAATATAAGTAATATATACTTTAATATAAATAATAATATACTCTTGAATTTTTTTTTAATAAGGTGATATGAACATCTACAAAATATTACATTTTTCTATAACATTTAAATAATAAACATGACAAAATAAATTTGCAAAATTGCACAAAAATAAACACAAATTTGCAAGAAAAATCTTGAACAACATGTAAGCTATGATATTTTAATAAAAACAACACAAAAGAGATGGCACATGAATAATCTTGAATATGCAAATGAAAATGAAATATAAAACATATAATTAAAATGTATATAAAAAAACAGTGTTTCCATATATATAAAATATTAAAAATAGAAAGCAAATAATATATTACAGCACACAAACAATGTAAAATGCATTAATAATAATGTGTTTTATTAATGGATTTTTAATTTAATATAAATATATATTCATAATAATTTAAAAAATGAAATTAAAATGACAAAAAAAAAATTTAATTTGTTGTATTGTCATAACATAAATGTAAAAAAAAATCTATTTGTTTACTTTTAAAAATGATATAATAATATAACTATTAATCTGAACTAAAATTGATATAATAATATAATGATATAATAATAATTGTTAATCATAATAAGATTTCTAAAAACCTTCTTATTTATATTTAAATTTTATATTTAATAGTTACCATTAGATGTATCATTAGCAGGTAGTATTTACTTCTATTTTTCTGTCAATAATAAATCAAGATAATTCAATTCTATATATTTTCTAATTAATATAACTATTATAAAGTTACAAAATATAATATCTTCATTATTTGTTTTATGAATAATGATATATAAATTAATTTATATAAAATCAAAATTATATTATATATATTATTGATATTAATTACAAACTAAAATATATTAACAATTTGTAAAATTTAATTTATGAAGTTCTTTACTTATCTATGAGAATCAATCATTTAACATTATTGGTGCACCCAGTATGTTACTTTTCTTTTGTAAATGAAAATGATTAGAATATAAATAACTCAAAAGGTGAAAAAGCAAAAAAATGGAAATCACCATTAGCGTGTTTGATTTGCCAACCTGCAGCGGCGAGCTGGGCCGTCACATCATCATCCATGGCAGCAGTCATAAGATCACCTTCCTCATATGTTTCAGATCCACTACTTGGCTCTTCATCATCATCATCTGAGATTCTGTCCATTGTACCAGACTCTGCACTGGGCAGAGAAACCATCTTCTTGTCTTCGTCACCCGTTTTGTCTTCAATTATATTGCAATGCCCCGTAGAAACAAATGCCAATCTTTGATTTTTGATTTTTCTTCTACATCACCTTCTCCTAAATTGAAAGGAGCAAGTTTATATGAAAAATGAAAGATATAAAATAATAAATAATAAATTCGTTCTTGTAAATAACATAAATAATATAACATAAATTTTATAAAATAAAATTGTTTTAAATGAACTTTATATATTATATAGTCTGAATTTAATTTAATATAAAAAATTATTTATAATGTTTTTTATTTATATTATTTATTATATATGAGAAACTATTTATGTTATTTATAAGAAAAAATTTTAATGTAAAAATAAAAATAAAATATTTTATTAAATTATTAAATTATTAATAAATATTTAGGATATATTTAAAATATTCACACATAATAAGACATAATATATAAAACAATTATATATAAATATAAATTTTATAATAAAACAGAAAAGAAAAATTGATATTAAATTTTTTAAAAGAAATCAAATTAATAATAGCAATATTTGATAAATGTATACATAGAAAAAAAACATGAATGCTATTTTATATATATGAACTATAAAGAACTGAAGTATTATAATCTCATTATGTATAAATACTAAATACTCTTTTGTGTAATCATTTTTATAGGGTAAATTATGATATGAAACATACTGCATGATAAAGATAAAGTAGAGTAGATAAGAATCCAGAATGATGATACTATATATAGGTTGAATTTTAAAAACATAAACAACGAGTTTCAGATGAAAGCATTTCCCGCGCATAAATTTGGGATTCCCACGCATGACGAAACGCAAGATATTCGCGATAGGAAAAACAATTTCGAAAATGAAAATGAAAAACGCGGAAAGTCGTAACGTGAACGTCGTCGTCGTCGCCGTGATCTGTGCATGAATACGAGATATTCGTGAAGCGTGATTGAAGCGTAGTGACCCAGTATTAAACTCGGCATGACAGCGAGTAAGAGATATTTGTAAGATGAATTTGACAGGCGACAGGTGACAGACGACAGACGGCGGACGGCCAGTTAAGAAGGCTGGTAAGAGCGTGGCTTGGCAAAGCGTGACGAGATGAGAACAGAGAGAGAAGATGCGCCAAGCCGCGCACACGGCGCGTTTATTTGGTGATACTTGGGGGGGCAATGAAAATGCGCAGGGCACACGCAAAAGAGACCACCTCCGGGGCCGCAAAGCTCATGACCGCGGTACCGCGGAGCCATGGAGCAGGCCCAGTGAAAATCGCGAGTTGCGTACGCACCTTGTGTGTCCCGTGAGTGGTCACCCGATCAGGGAGGGCTCAGGGTTTCGCGTCTGCGGGGAGGCCGCCGTCGGCTACGCTCTCTCACCACGCCCTACGCT